CGGGTCCGCGGGGAGGAGGCGCGCACGGTGCTGGATGCCCTGCGCGCGGCCGGGGCCCGGAGGATGAGGGCGCGGGACTATCCCGCCGGCGGCCTCCAGCGCGGCCTGGGTCCCACGCCAGCCCTCTCCGTGAGCCCCTGCGCTGCCCCGCGCCTCGGAGCCCGGGAGGCTGTGCGCCACCCCGCCTGCCCGTGTTTTTGTTTGTTTCCGAGCTGCTGGCTCCAGGAGCCTCTGCGACTCGCCAGTGTACCGCCACCGCACTTTGTTGGCTCCCCCCACCCATTTTTTAACTTTCTGCCTCCTTTTCCGAAAGTGACATGAGTGCCTCCTAATAGACGAAATTTCTTCCCTAAGGCGAAGAGCCTCCGTGGCCGTGGGGGCGTGGGTGACACACTCCACTGGTGAACTGAAGTTTAGACAGGGATGCGAGGGGTGATGAAATACCACGGAGGCTTCCTAGGCATCCTGTCCCTTTAAAATAAAAAAATCGAGATATGGCTCTCAAGCTGCAGCCTCTTGAGCGCCGCCGCCTGCTCCGCGTGGGTCCCCAGTCCCTTGCATGTCCACCCCACCCCAATCCCCGCGTAAGCTCAGCCCTGGGGACCCCGAGGAGCTGGACCGCACTGCAGCAGCGGCCCAGAGCGCAGAGGGTTCGTCCCGCAGGTTGGAGGCAAATGGGATTGCTGGAGATGTGGGGAGCACCAGGGCCCATCGGCGGCACCCTGCCCCGTAGGACCTGGTTTGTGCGCACGGGCCGAGTCCCTGCCCCTACCCGTCCGAGTGGTCTTGTGGAAACAGAAGTCTGCCGCGGGCCTGGCATCCCTGATCAAAGCCAGCTGAGCCTTCTTCACCTGGTTCCCGTGCAGCCTGCGCATGGCTTACGCGTCCTGGTATGCAGCCTCGTTGGGTTACACTCTGGAATCACAATTCCCCAGACAAATATGCCGACCATCTTCAGCATTTTGAGCCTTCGCTCGTGCCCTGCTCCCCATCCCCAAGTCCCAGCAGGGTCCCTGACGCATTTATGCAGAGTTCATGCTCCATCTGGGATATGCCTCTGGCTCTACGCTTATATGAAACTGTAATACCTGAGATGCCAGCACGTGGCTTCATTTTAGTTAAACTATCAGCAGTCATTGATCACTCTCCCTCCTTGAAACCCCTCTTCTCCTGGCTGGGATAACATGCTCCCCAGGCTTTCCTACTGCCTTCCTGGCTTCTCAATCCCTTTTGCAATTTGTTCTTACTTCCTTATCCTCTTAAATATGGAAGGCCCTGGGAGCTCATCCTTGGGCCTCTTCTCTTTTCCATCCACGGTGATCTCTATCTTTTTGCTTTGAGTATCATATATAGGTTAATGAACCTCAAATTCATAACTCCAGCCTAGACCTCGACCCTGAAAAACAAATTCTTACCCAACTGCCTCCTCGACATCTCTTGGATGCCCACTGGCAATTGAATTCAGCGTGTCTCAAGCTGAACTCTTGCTATCCCCTCCCCCTGCTCCTCCTGAAATCTTCTCCATCCCAGTTATGGGCAACTTCAGGCCTCTGCTCAGGCTGACAACTTGGTGCCATCCTTGATGCCTCTCTTTCTCTCACACCCCAAATAGTGTCAGCTCCACCTCCAAAAGATCCAGAATCCCACCACATCACACCACCCCACTGCCTCCACCCTGCTCAAGTCCTGATCATCTTGCCTCTGGGTTATTGCTAGGTAATTGATCTAGCAATCTATCTCCCTGCTTCTTACCTTGCGCCCTTATAGTCTGTTCTCAATAAGGTAGCTCTGGTGAACCTTACAAAACCTAGGTTAGATCATGTCACGCCTCTGCTCAAAACCCTCCCATGACTCCTATCCACTCAAAGTAAAATCCAACCCCTTATTCTGGCCTCCAAAGCCCTGTAGACACTAGCACCTATCAAGAGCTGTGCAGGGTCTGAGCTTTCCCCTACTTGTAAGCTAACAAGTTAGGCTACTGCAATTTCATGGATGCTGGCAGAAGACAGGAGACTCCTGGGTCAGAAACAAAGGACTTTATTATTCATAGCAATAGCAGTGGCTAGAGTATCAGCATTTTCACTGGCTGGTTCACCAAGCCCCAATTCCCACAGGGCTATGGGGGCCAGATGCATACATAGTGAGCTCCTGTATAGGAGAGGAGCCCTGAGCTTGAAGAAGCCCAATCTTTATATGGATAGTAAGCATGTCTGCCTTTTACTGTGACAGAAGACACTATCTCTATCTCCCAAGGCTTTTTGCTCTACAAACGTTCTTGAAAAAATAGTTCAGAACAAAGGCAGTCCATGCCCCTGCCCACAGATGTGCAGAAGTGCAAGAAACCAATGGAGGATTGTCTCCCACAGCTGCTCAGTGCCTCTCCCAACACAACATCTCTATTTTGCCCTATTCTCTTCTCTTTAGCCACACTGTCCGGCCCCCTTTTTTTTTCCTCGAATAAACCAGACACACTCCCACCTCAGGTATTTACACTTGATGTTTCCTCTGTCAGGAATGCTTTTCCCCCGGAAACTTCCCCGGCTCCCTCACTTCCTTCACATAGTTACACCAAAGCCACCTTCTCAGGGAGGCCTTCTCTGACATCCTGTCTAAAATGGCATCCCTCTTCACCAGCACTTCACGTCTCAATTCTTTGCTGTGACAAGAAGAATAATGGCCCCCAAAGATGCCCACATCCTGATCCCTGAAACCTATAAATATGTCATCTCACATGGCAAAGGGGCTTTCAGATGTGATTAAGTTAAGGATGTTGAGATGAGGAATGATCTTGGCTTGTCTGGGTAGGTCCAATGTAACCACAAGAGTCCCTATCAGAGGGAGGCAGCGGGGTCTGAGTCAGAGAAGGAGATGAGAGGACAGATGCAGGGGTCAGAGAGAGAGAGAGGTTGAAAGATGTTACACTACTCACTTTGAAGATCGAGGAGGGGCCATGAACCAAGGAACATAGGTGGCCTCTAGAAGTTGGAAAAAGCAAGAAAATGGATTCTCTCCCAGAGGTTCCAGAAGGAGCACAGCCTTATTGACCCATTTCTGACTTGTGACCTCCAGAACTATAAGATAATAAATTTGTGTTGTCTACACCACTGTTTGTGCTATTTTGTCACAGGAACAGGAAACTAACACACTTGCTTTGCTTTTCTTCTTGGCAATTATCTCTATCTAACACAATACATACTTTACTTGTTTATCTTAGGTATAGTCTGTGCCCTCCACTAGAATATAAACTCCACGAGAGCCAGGATTTTTGTCTGTTTTATTCCCGATTCTATTCCCAGCACCTATAAAAAGTGCCTGACACATAGCAGGTGCCCAATAAATGCATGTCAAAAGGATGGCTTCCCCATTAAATTGTAATTTCCATGAAGACAAGGACCATCTCTCTTCCACATGGTGATTGGTCATTGTAGGAGCAATAAATATTCAGTAAGGTAATGAATGAACAAAGATCTCTCCTACAGTAAAGGCTCCTCTCTCATCATGCCAGGCACACAGTAGGTGTTCAATTAATGTTAGCTGAATTGAAATGAAAGTTTTTATAGCAATGTGAGACCCAGTGGTATTCACCAAGAGCTTACTTTAGATTCATCTTATGCAAATACAGCCAAGAATTCTGGCCATTTTTGATAGGATAGTACTTCCAGGGACTCTAATTTGTGAGTGAAAACCTCACTAGGAGAAAAAGCTGGCTCTTAAATTAGTGAATTTCTCCTGTCACCAGAAGTATCAAGGGAAGGCCTGATGATCATCCTCTTCATTCATTCATTCACTTTCATTTATTCATTGAACAAATCTTTTTTTGATCACCTACTATATATATCCTAGGCAAGGTGCTATGTTCTAGGAATGCAAAGGTGATAAAGATAATGCTGCTTTAATGAGCTTACATTCCAGGGGACTCTGTAGAAGAGGCAGTATTTTTAGGGTTCAATCTCAATCCAACTCTGAGTTTGTGAACAGAGAGTAAGTGAGAATAGGTATGGATGAAGGCAGCCATGAAGATACAAATACACACACACATGAACACAGGGTTCACACACACAAACATGCAGTGGCTGAGTTAGAGTTGGATGAACAATTCTGGTAATGTCTAATTAAAAGTGTGAATTAAGGTCAATTCTGCTATCAACTAGCCATCGACATATATGTTCTTCTAGAGCACAACAGCATGAGTTGTGTCCTCCAT